GAGGGGGGCTGCCTGGGCACTAGGTCTTGATAGCCTGCTGTGGGTAGAGGGGAGGTATGGGGTGGGGAGCACGTGTACCAGAACTCACCTGGGCAGTGCAGTTCCCGCTGCCCCTGCAGTGCTCCATGTGAGACTGAGCCCCACCTGCTCCCATGGGAGCCTGTGGCCCAGCTCAGCCTGGCCAGGTGGTGTCCTGCTCCCTCTACCTCTAGTGGTGGCTCCTTCTGCCCCTGCCATGTTGCTACATGATGCTTCTGGTTGGTGGGGAAGCAGGAAGCTTCAGCCCAGAGCAGTGTGGTATGGCAGGGGCAAGATCAGAAGCAGGACCACCACTGGAGGTGGGGGAAGCAGAGCAATGCCTGGCTGTAGCCACACTGGGAACAACCCTGCCAGAAGCTGCACATGCTGGCTGGGGCTGGGCCATTGGCACCAATGGGAGCCCAGTGCAGACTGTCCTGACATGAGTGGGCAGGGCTTGGCCCCATGCAGAACACAGCCATGGACTGGATCCACTCACGTGGCAGGTCAGATCTGGCCCATGGACTTTAGGCCCTCAGCTAGTGGCCTAAGTAGGCTGACAGGAGAATTACAGTCAATAATAACTGATCTCAGAGCATTTAACTAGACAGGCAGGCATCTTCTGCAGAAAGGGGGATAACAATTTTCTGAGAATTGAGTGGACAAGGATGTGAGCTGGCAAGACCTAGGTAAGGTACCATTGGTCAGGGAAGTGACCTCTGGAGCATTTCAGTCTGTTCTCAGTGGTCAAGCAGAAGCCAACTTGGGGATGAATGGCATCCCTGAAAGTGTAAGAACACCCTGGGAGTGTCTTTCAAAGGGGCACCTAGCTGCACCTGGGATCAGGATGTGTTACATACAGGAAAGGAGTCACACTAGTGAAGCTTCTTTCTTGGATATACTACATGGATAAATATGTGATTTGAAATACGTGCTTTTAAAGAACTTTGGGCTTGATTTTCAAAAGTGTTAAGTACTTGCAACTCAGGAGTTACTGGGATATGGAGCTGCTTAGCATCTGCTTAACATCTAGTGGCCTCATTCTGTTTATTTTTATCTAATCTTGTTCGCAGAATGTAACCATTACTGAAGACCAAACTCTAGTATTTGAATAAGTGAAGGTTGCTTGCACGCACTTCCTGTGAAGAGAACCATTTTGGAAGTTGTCAGAGGCCATGTGGAGGCTCTTTGCAGGGTGGACCATCTAATGTATTTCATTCTTAACAATAGGAATGTAAAGTTATTATCAGTAAAACAGCATATTTTAGTCTTTCAGCTTCTTTTAGTTCTTTTGATTGTTACCCACTATGGAGTTAGCTCTTACTCCTTTAACTTGGAGAAGAAATGGTTTGCAAGGTAAGGGACTTGTACTAGTGTAATACGTAACCATAGGCAGGCAAGGTTCTTTGGGTAGATGTAATATCTTTTATTAGACCAACTCAGTAGTTGGAACAAAATTATTTGGAAGCCTTTGGGCACAAGTACCCTTCTTCAGGCAGAGTCTCCCTGTATTTATTTATGCAGTCTCCTTATGCCCGAAAAAGTGGTGCTTGTGCTCAAAAGCTTGCAAAGAACTTTGTTCCAACTACTGAGTTTATCTAATAAAAAAATCACATCTGCCAAAAACATGGCTACAACCAAAAACCCCATATACCTAACCATAAGTGCAGATGCCCCTAGGCTGCTAGGAGAAACAATTTCTGAATTGTTTCTAAAGAAACTGATTCTTTTGGAAAAGAATTACATGTTTCTGAACAGGAGTAAAACAGCAGTAAATGAAAGAGACTTATCCCTTATTCTTCATTCAAGCAAAGATCAAGAGAACTGTGCTAAGGCAGGAATGCTGGGCATCATTAAAAATGGTAACCAGGAGTTAAACAATATTTCCAGGTATTAAATGTTGTCCTGTTAATTACAAACATAAACTTCTATGCAGTAGAGCTGCTCTATTCCAGGTTGCCCTGCTGGCATAATATGCCCTTATGGCCAAATTAATTATTTTAGAAAGGATTGCAATAATGTAAGGATGATGCCTCCATGTGATGCAACCACTGAGAGCACTGTCTGGTGTGGGACTCAGTCCCAGCTGCACATTTGGGCTGGGGTGTCTTGCGCACCTCCAAGCCTTGGAGGTTGCTGCTGCCATGATCCCCCCGGGGCCAGGGAGTTCACTCTGGTCATGGTGCACCCCTGTAGTTGAGAGCCCTGTCAGCTGACAGGGTTCCTGGCAGCAGGAGAAACCCTGCTACTTTTGCAAATTTAAGCTCAATAGCAGCCAGCTGTAAAGTTAGTACTTATTTTCGAGGTCTAACTTCATAGCTGGTTAGAGCTTTTATTGTGTGATAGCTACTTTGCATGTGTAGCTGGTCTTAAGGTACTTGCACAATTCCTGTAACATGTAGAGGGGGCTGCTTTCAAATATGCTAGGATCAGGGCAGCGCCATGGAGAGCTTTAAGCTATCTTTGTATGTGCACATACCTTCACCGCAATCTTTGCCCTTCCTAATTTACACTCATCTGGGATCCGAGTTCTTTATATATTTTTCTTTTTATACTTCCTCTATGAGAGGATATCAGTTTTTAAGTGACAGGCAAAGGTTTTATGTGATATCCTGTTTTGGAACACTGTATTTTTGTAAATCTTGGAGCATGCTTGCTTGTGATGCATAAGAGAAATCTGTGCTTCACCACTTCATACTGCCAGTTGTGTCTGACATTAAAGGGTATCTATAATTCAAGATTTAAAACTATTTTCTGTTTAAGTATTATATTCCCCTTTTTAAAGGTTAATCTTTTCCCACCTTTAAAAAGTCAACTATTAAGAGTGAATTGGTTTCCAAATTTCTTAAATTCAGTAGCTTCTGATTATTTTGTTATTATAAACAAGAATTCTTTTCTTACCTCTAAGAAAATAGCAACTGAAATTTATGAACAAGTGATATCTTCCTTGAATCAGTTGATTCTGCTTGCCAAATAAACTACTTTCTGACTCAAAAAAAATCATTACCATTTTAAATTTCTACAGTAAATAAAATAACTAGTTCTGTAAATTCTGTAATGGCAATTATATTATTGAATAGGTGTTACTCACATTGGTTTCATGTTGTGTTTTCACAGAAAATCCATGATAGCTAAGCATGAATTACTAGAAATATATAATGTATTCACTTTTTATGATGAGCATTTTAAAGACACTTCTGCATTATTTGTTAATTTTTGCTTCAGTGTCAGTCTCCAAATAATTATAATATATACCAAGAAATTATATCTTGAATCAAGTAAAATTCATTGTCATACTTTCGATTGCATCCACTTCTGTAAAAATGAAGTGGATACACTTTTAAAATGTTTGTTGCCGTTCTGGAGAATGACAGTTTTAAAGATCTACTGTGCTGTGATTCCAGGGGAAATTGCAAAGGTACTAGCACAGGAAAGACACTTGTAGGCATGCCTACTAAGAAGCGCTTGTTTCTATGTGCATAATCATCTGTCTGAGATGTATATCAGTGGTTTTCTACCTTTTTTCAATTGTGGGCCCCTAAAATATTTCTAATGGAGGTGCGGGCCCCTTTGAATTGTAAGTGTGGGTAGTCACGTACTTTTGATTGATCATAGTTATCTTTTGCGGACCCCTTAAATATAGTATTCGGACCCCGGGGGTCTGTGGACCACAGGTTGAAAACTACTGATCTATACATGTGTGTACGTGTATATGTATGTCTCTCCATAATGTGTGTATATAATAAATCTCGCATACTTTTCCAGATGTCAAATTTCAATTTCTATCCCATTCAACATGTGAGTGGCGTTATGATGCCTGTACAAGCCCATGCTTCAAAACATGTAGAGACCCTTTGGGAGAGAACTGTCAGGTTGTACCAAAGTAAGTAGCTTTATTTTCATTTAATAAAAGTATATAATTCTAGCAATAGCAGAGCCAGTGTATGTGGCACTGAACATAGTTTAGTCCATTGAGTCTATACAATTTTATCAGGAAATCATTGGAGGAGAATAGCACATTAATAGCCATTGTAGCAGATGGATCAAAATAATGTCCTTGGAAGACAGTTATCAGGTGTCCATTGCCAAAGACTGAAATGTATTGGTATTATTGCAACATTTCAGATGGAGATCACCCTAAATTAAGACCTAATCAAAGAAAGATTACAGTCAGTTGATGTAAAAAAAAAAAACCCTCTACCTTTATTCTGCTTATTTTTCATTATACATAGTAACTTGTCTGTCCCTGCTTTTTCTTTTTCTACATATAAGGTAAGTTTTTAACAGGGTTAGGAGTGGTTGTTCGAGATGCTATAAACAAATTATTGTGAAATATAGTGAGTCTATTTACTCAGAAAGCTACTGCTTGCATAGTTAATACTGATTCTTTTTATTTTAGAGTGGAAGGATGTGTCCCGACCTGTCCTCTCCATATGTTACTGGATGAAGTCACTCAAAGATGCGTGTATTTCGAAGATTGTATGTTTAAGAAATCAGTTTATTACATTTCATTTAATATTTAGTTTTCTTAGGGATAACTACAGTCAGTGTTTTCAGATGACCATTTAAATATAGACAATTAAGTCCACAAGTAGGCACCCAGATAATCAAGCTGACTTCTCAGAAGTGCTAAGCCCTCCAATATAACAATCTAACATTAGTAAAGATCAGTCCACTTAAGTGGCAAAATAGTGTTATGTGCATAATATTAAATGCCCATGTTTATAAATCTTCAATTGTTATTTAACATCCTTTATGGTTAAAACAGGCATTCTTAAAACTTACAAAATTAAAAGAAAAATTAAAACTAAGAGGTTCTTGTTTTATAAAACTTTCAGTAACATTAAATATAAAGCAAATATCTTATCCAACTCTTTTTTGATGATCAAGCATGTTAGGACCCTAAAGGAATGGAAAAAAAGATGTGAACTAGATAAGTTAATATGGATCCCTTCTAACTTTAATAATGTTATGATTCCAGCATAACAAACTGCAAACTAACTTCTGTTTGTCTGGTTTTAGGCATTGAGCCTGCAGTTGATATTCAGCCGTCACCATCCGTACTTTCACATATAACATCTAGTACATTCAACATCTCAGTTGCAGCAATAACTAGTAAAGAAGTAATTTCAACTCTCGTACCTGAATTAAAAGACACACACACAACACGTGCCTCAAAGTGGCAACTCAGTGCAACTGTAGAAAAAGCTACGTTTCCAACTGTTTCTGCATCCAAAATCACAGTTTTAACCACATCTGTAACATCAAATGTTTCAGCACCACATTCAACTGGAACTATTTCTGGCAAAACTACTAGTATGGCAATTTCTGTATCGCAGAAAGCTAATATAAGCTTCCCTTCTGCAGCTGATGTTTTCCCCTTGAAATCTGCTGCCACTACAGGAATCTCTTCAGGTATTCAAGTAACCAGTAGTATTTCTGAAAAAGTATTGGATGCTACAGCACCTCTGACTGCAAGTACAACACATGCAGTTACTAGGAGCAAACCAATGCCTACATTTATACTTGCTGAGACACTATCAATAAGAACAGTATCAGAAACACCAGTCAAAACTATAACAGTAGCAGAAACATCAGAAATAGGCACAAGGATACTTCCTGTAGTGGAAACTAAATTAAAACCAGAAAAAACTTCAGAAATTACAGCCGCTCCTTTTGTTTCAGCAACAAAGAAAACTACATATTTGACCCAATACTCTTTGTTGCCATCCTACTCGCCAATAGAAAATCAAACAAGAACTTCAGAAGCAGAAAAACTGAGCATAGAGCAGCACATTCCCACAGTAGCCAATATCTCTGAAACATCGTTTTCTCCTCTGATCACTACACTAAAGCTGAGCATGAAACCAGTGTCTTTGGAAACAACAAAGGCAACATCCATTTCAACTATGGAAGAAATAAAAGCCACAGAGTTTTCATCTTTGACACAGCTGGTAACAGTGGCAGATACTGAATATCCCCCATATATGGTTCAAAACTTGACTGATATTGCAGGAACCGACCTTACCACCACTCAAAGTGCAAAGACAACAGCTGTACAAACTAAAGAACTGCCATCAGCAATAACTAGTTTGCCACTTACAATTGGTAAAAAAGAAGTACCCCAAACAACATCAAGTGTGAAGCATCCTTCAAGTTCATATTTTTCTCCATATTCCCTATACTCCAGGTCAAGTGCAGTTACAAAAATTCCTTCTGCAGAAAGACCTTCACCATCAGTTTCAACTGCTGCTTCTTCAGGTTTAACAGAATCAAGAGAAACTTTACAAACAGTATCAACTACTGAATATCCAGCATCCAAAGGGCTAAACTTGACAACTACTGAATATATATCACCTGTGTTTATAAGTACAACCAAGACAAGTATTTTCCCATCTTCTGTTAGTGTGACAACATCAGAAATGAAAACGTCTGCTTTAGCAAAAGAGTCCTTGGGCTTGGACACTACAGTTCCATTGGTAACTACAAAAATGGACTCAGTGCAAACAATGCCCCTTACTAGATCTCCACATATTCTTATCAGTGAGGCTGTAACCAAAAGAGTGACAGCATCTCCTGAGATACCACAAACAGAAGAAGTTACCAGTATATACATGAGAGAGCCATCTACATTTGCTTCATCACCAAGCTCCCCAACATCTTTAACCATGATCCTTCTTCCACTATCGACACGCCAAACAGAGGCATCAACAAGGGCTACCAGTCCTATGCGTACATCATCTGAAACTATTTTCACTTTATATCCAAGGAGCTCAGCAATCAAATCTACTTTTTCAGCAGAAAAAGAGACACCCCCTTTAGTGACTGCCTCAGCCCTATCCATTACAGCTGAACAACTAAGCTCACAGACAACTACATCACCCAAAGAAATGCTAGCAAATACCACTTTAAATATTACATACGTCACATTGCCACCATACTCTGAATTCAGCAGCAGAACAGTAACTCCCCCAAAAGTGACAGCAGTCAAAGAGGGGCCAACTCTGTCCACTTCTGTTACATATCCTTTCCTAAAGCTCTTTCACACATCCTCCAGCACTCAGTATCTGGAAGAAAAATTAGTTTCCCCGTATGAATTAACAGAAACGCCTACAGCTCAAACATCATTAATCAAAGATTCTTCTTCTTTCACTACAGCTTCAGTAGGTTCTTCCTTTGTCCAAACGTCTTCAGTAAAGACAGTTTCTGAGCAAACCAGGAAGGAGTCGTCTGCTGTTCCACATTTTACTAGTAAAATGTCAATAGAACATGTTCTTGCAGCTTCCAGGCCTCCTTTGACAAGCAAATCAAGTACCACAGTTTACCAGCCTCCAACAGAAACTTTAATGACCATGAGTACTCAACCAGCAGGGGTTCTTTCAAGTTTATCTCCTACCACAATAATACCTGCAAAAATTCTTTTGAGGACTGAAAAAGTATCACACTTAACTGATGCAGTTACACTGACATACATACCAAGCACTTCCTTAGTTTTGCAGACACTTCCAGCCTCAACCAGAAAAACAGCTGACTTGACTTTCAGCACAAGACCTTTCTCCTCCTCACCAAAACCTACTTCAACTTTACCACCATTAAGTACAGTGGAAAAAGAAGTATTTCATTCATTATCTACGCAAAAGACAGGCACTGTCTTAGACTCTATAGAGCAGGCAATTACCGAAGCATTAGATTCTCGTCAAACACCTAGAACCTCTGTTGTCTTGTTTCCTGAATCAGAATCAACCTCTCCATCAGTTTTCCCATCAGCCACATCAAGAACGTCCTTCACAATCCAGAGAGAGTCATTAACAGATACGTTTTTAACACCCAGAGTCTCATCAGCAGCACCCACATCAACAAGTAAAAGTGCTACAGAGAAGATTGCAGTTTTGTCAAAGCAAGTGCCACTTTCAACTACCACTTACAGTTCTACATTCCCAGCAAGTAAAGTGTTGCCAGCTACAGCTCTTTCTTTAACTACAACTGCTGCTTCAGCACGTTCAGTAATAAGCAATACAACAACACAAAATATCACTATTGTATCAGCTGCTTCAGAAAAAACAGCAGTGACAAGAGAACCAGTTGCAACCTCATTGGAACCCACTTATTTGTTTGTTTCAGAAACAAAGAAAGGCATCTTCTCTGAAACACCAGAATCTATAGGGCCAGAACTGGTCACAAAACCACATTCTCTTCAGACTCCAGGCATTAGTGGTTTTGTCACCCCTACCTCAAAAACAGTACAGACATATTCTCCACTTTCCACAAATGTAACTGCTATGCCTTTTAAAATAGGTGTATCAGTTTTGTCCACCATGTCTTCATCATCTGAGCAAAAGACTATATCTTCTATAGCTGAATTATCAGGCAACACTACTCTAGCTCCCAGACTTGGAACACCATCTGTTACTGAGAGACACACACCCTCAGAGAGTTCATTGTTAATGACCTCAGTCCATCCAAATGTTACTGTGGTTGCATCAGTTCCCCCATTTTCCTATTTGTCTACGAAACCACTTTATGAGTCGTCTACAGAGTATTCTCATGGATTAACAAGAGGTGAAGCTATCTCAGAAGTCACAGCATCAGTTTTCATGCCAGCTGGAGAAACATCAACGCTCCAAACTTGTGTAGTGAGTAGTATTATTAATGGCTATCTCTTTGCCTATCTGTAAAGAAGACAGGAATGTAGATTTATGTACAACTAAGTTATAATGCCACCACTGCTGGAATATCTATTTATGGGCCATATATTTCTGCATTTGGTATTAAAAATATCTGCCTCAAAATATGAGACTATATTCTTATCTCAATTATAGATATGTAAATCTTGAGGAACTCCAGTGCAGTTAGTGGATTTTGTAACTACTGCAGTAGATCATTGCCTGAAGCCTCAGCTTCTAATGTGGTGCTTTGCAGAAAATATTTTTTTGGCTTCATATGCCATTTCATGTTTACTCTGTAGAGGTGACTTTTTCAGCTGTAGTCTGCTATGTGTTGGCATATTGTTTTCTGTCCCATAGTCATCATTAAGATTGCTTAGCTGCCTTCACCTCCCCTGTGATCCTTGCCTCCGCCTTGCTTATGCTCTTGCACGCTTTTTCTTCTGGGTTTCTGTTGAATTTAGTATCTAAAAATCAATAGTACTGCTCTGTAATTTAAATCTGAGCAGCCCAGCTTCAGTAGTGGTCTGATTTTGAAGGGTTCTGAACACCTCCAGGTTCCCTTAACTTGGGGCTTGTGAGGGTTTGGCATTTCAGAAAATCCGGCTCACCTGTTATATCAGTAAATGTGCTGCAATATCATGATATGAACTTGATAAGAATGGTAACCTGTGTCTTTTAAATATGCCTTAGCCAATCACAGAGAATGAGTGCATAAAACACATTTGCTTGGATGGACAATTAATCCAGGTTAACAAATCACTGAACTGCCCATACAATGCAACTCAGCCCAGCTGTGGAGTTCTAGGATTCGCTATTCAAATCAATGGTGACAAATGCTGCCCTAAATGGGAATGCGCATGTAAGTTTTACTTATTCAGTACTTACAAAACTGAATATAATAAAATGTTAACTCATAAGTAGGCTAAGCATTAAAGATGGAATTTCAAGGAGTAGGAATAGAAAGTAAATATTCTAGAGAGTATTCTTGGTTTAATACAGGATAGAAGGCCAGTCCTCTTGCCCTGAGGTAAATGGTAAAATTTCCATTAATTTAAATGAGATATCTAATAGCAAAGAACCAGTGCAAGAAGAAACTGGTGCAAAAGGCTGCTCAGGGTCTCTTGATTGACAGTCATTGAGAGCAGAACTCTGGGCCCTTTGAAACACAAATGCTTTAGTAGTAGGACTGAAAAGGATGATAGTTTTCCACCAGAGCTCCCCAGCAACAGGATAAGATCCCAGTCAAAGTCCAAACTTCCACCTTCCACATCTTCTAGCTTTGGGTCCAAGAAAATCCACAAGGTTGTAGTTCTAATAGCCACAAAGGAGAAATTCTGTTGGATGTCTGAAACATGCAGAATTTGACTCTACTATCAATTTATAATTAATTAATGACAATGACAAATATAACTGAAAATGTCTTTTATGATGAATAAGGTTAATTCATAGAAACATTATATCATGTTTTCTTTTTGTTCCATACCAAAACACTGAAATAAGTTCTATGTTTGTTTGTTTTTTAATCAGGTCGCTGTACATTTTTTTCTGATCTGAGCTTTGTAACCTTTGATGGGAATCATTTAGCTTTATTTAAGGAAGCATCCTACATTATTAGCCAAACTGAAGATGAAACTATAGGTATCCATGTCCATGACTGCAGAAATAATACCAAGAAGGTAACCATCTCTCTTACTTATAAAATTGGCCAATGGCATAAAGTACAGTGAATAAAACTACACTCTAGGTGTGTTGCATACGTTTGTATATAATGTAATAGTATTTAATTATTATGAATTATAAAATACACTATACTATTTGTGTTTGGCACTTAGCTGGTGTAGGGCTTTGGTTTTTTTTCTGCCTGCAAAAGCATCAGTCTTGATGCAACGTTGTAGGTAAGTCAGTACTATCTTTGTTGTATAGATGGCAAAACAAAGCTGTTGAGTGGTAAAAGAATTATACGTGGGTGAATCTCTCACACAGCTATCCAAGTGTGCATTCATCTTTTCTGTGGGAAACTTCAATTCTTAAGATTTAACAGAAAGAACAATAGAGGCTATACCACACACACACACACACACACACACACACACACACACACACACACACACACACACACACACACACACACACACACACACCCCCATTATTAGACAGAGTGAGTATTAAGACCCAAACTCTTCCCAGACTCTCACTCCATCCTACACTACATCCTTGTTTTTAAAATAATTGAAAAATGAATGAACATTTACAATACAGTCTGCCAGTTTATCAATGTCTGATTATTAGCATCCTTATTCTGGGACTTCTGCATTCAAACTTAGATAGCATAAAGGAGTATAGGAATTGGTAAATTGGATCAGACTAATGATGCATGTAGTCTAGTAGTCATTCCTGGACAAAACCCAGTATCAGCTACTTCAAGGGAAGTTGCAAGATGCTCCAAAGGAGTCAGTTATGAGAGAGACCCTGGGATAGTTCTCTGAATCCAAATAGTTTAGATGTTGCCTTATACCTGGAAACATAAGTAATGATATGCTGTTCCAAAACTCGTGGGTTATTTTCCCCTAGCCTTTGCTATGATACTCGGGTATCCTTGTTATAAAAATAAATGCCTAGTGTTCTATTAAACTTTTTAAAGATTTTAGCCTCGGTGACACTAGAGCCTCAGTGACCTTTTGTGGCAATAACTTTCCAGCAGCTAATTTTACACAGTGTGAAAAAAAATATTTCCAATTTTTGCAATTGGCATCTATCAAATGCCCTTGAATTTTGGGGCTATAAGAAGGTGAATATAATTATATTCCTGATGTGTTACTTGTATATTATTTATTATTATAGTACACTTGTGTTTCCACTTATTTGCATCTTCCCTGAGGTAAACAGTTCCAATTTTTTTCAATTTCTAATCCCATGCCAGTTTTTTGGTAACCTTTACCATAACCTTTCTCTGAACCCCCTTTTTTTCTGGTCTAGTGTTTTGTTATTGTTGTTTTTGTTTTGTTTTGGGTGTTTTTGAAATGGCCCGAGTTCAAAATAGTGACTAATCAGAATGTAAAGATTATACATATCTTAATTATGAATCACGATTTTTACTTCTACAGCGTCATTTGAACTCAACTTCATTATGTCTGGCTAAGTTGAATTTAATGTACATGTCAAATCTAATTATTGTTGATCGTTTAAATAGAAAAGTAAGTATTTTACATTTTTATTGTTTTCTTTTCCTTTTTACATTGCATGTTGCTTTCCCCCTAATCTCACTATTTACGGTTTTAACTATTATATTGCATTATAGTTGAAATGTAGAAAACATCTCCTAAAATCTAATAACAACATTTGTATGGGTGGAACAATTTCTGAATCAAAGCAGAGAGCAAATGTGTCATTAACCATTGGCAGTATTCTTAGTTAATTCATGAACTCTTTAAAACATTTACCATTTATAATCCATCTTGAAATAACTCACTCATTGCTTTGTCTTCATAACTTCATTCATCCTTCTGCTAGGAAAAGCTTGTAAGAATTTAAACATTTTTTTATTTTACTTAGAAATATTTTATCTCACATAATTTTCTCTACTTTTGTACTTAATATTGAAAACATTTCCAAGAAATCTTTTCATTTTCATGTTTTAATTTTAATAATCTTATATCATTTTAAATTCCCAATGCTTTTAGCTTTTTAATCTTAACTGGAAGTCACAATCCTTGCTGGTGAAAGGAAGATTATTTCCCCAGTGATTAATTAGCTTTTTTTCTTGTATATGTACTTAAGGGCAAACCCAGTTTTTTAGTTATTTTTTTACTTGCAATTCAGCTTACAACTTAACTTTTTTTTAATTGGACCTCTTTTTCTTGGTACCCTGTTGGCAGTGTAGCATGCTACAGTCTTTTTTGTTGCCAACAGTGTACCAAGAAAAAATGAGGTCCAATTAAAAAAAAGTTATTTTATTTTTCATGATCTCAAAGGATCAGACTCACTGGTCCTTTTAGCTACCTCACTGCCCACATTTGGAGAAAAAGAGAAAGCTTTGTTTGGTCAAAGGGTTGACTGAATTTTGATGGCTTTCACTCGGAATCACAAATAGCACCATTTGAAACTCACCCAAGCTTGGCTTAAAAGTCAGAGCATTTACAAAAGACCTTTCAAGGGTGTTTTGGAAAACCAGATCCACATTTCAGACTGATAGTAAAACCCATTTAAGTTTCATTCCAAAAGTTGCATGCAGTTTTATGTAGTGATGACTTACAATAAACAGCTTCCCATGTTAAGGCATTCAGATTACTCAGGTGTCTTTTTATATTTTGTGTGCATACGTATCTCTTTTAGATAACTGTGAATTCAAGGTACGCCTGGCCTACCATTAGAAAATATGGTTTTAAAATTGAGGATACTGGCTTCATGTATGCAGTTGAGACCCCAACAAATATTAGAATACAGTGGTTTCACAGTACTGGGGTGATGATCATAGAAACAAATACTACAAGTGATCCAAAAGCTATGGGACTATGTGGTAAGTACAGATTACTGTAAGAAATATAGGCATTTGTGTGTTAAAATACTTTGCTAAAGAGTGTGGGGAAGGGCTGAGTGAGGGAGATTTCTTCTACTTATAAATAATATTGTTTCCATGATCAGGTTTACAGATGTCTGGATTGTATTCCAAATAGTTTAGCTTGTTGTGAAGATTAAGGTAGTATAAATATGAAGCTCTTGTTAATTGTATTAATTGTTGAAACGGTGGTTAATGCCCAGCTGTGAAGTGCAGTGATTTGCTTTTATATTTTCCTTCTGACTTTAAAAGCAATTTGACTTGCAGGCATGAACAATAAAGTAGTAGCCAAATAGATAGCCTAGACATAAATGTGAAATATCTCTTAGGTTAAGCAACTCTTAGCGTTAAATAAGATCATTTGTAGGTTTAGTATTTGGTATCCATCTGAAAGGAAATGCTATCTGCTATTTTCATTTTCTGAAGGTCAGAATTAATTTCATGAGAGTGATAGCTGCTAACTTTGTAGAATCGATTTAAGTTGATCTTGTTGCAGAAGTATTTCAGAGAGATTTTTTTTACAGTAATGGGCTAATAACTGTTAAGCTAAGATCACTGTTAGGTCTGTACGGTATGTACACATGGTTTCATTCTTTCTGGAAGCTGTAATCTTGGATGAGACGTTAGGTCTATAGCTCTCGCAAGCATTATATTCATTGATATAAATCTCTTCTCTGACACTTGAATTATTATCTGCTGTAAAGTAGAGCTTGAAACCAGGGATACAAAGTTCATCATTACAGGGCTTGTCTTGCCAATTTCAGAAAGGGCAAATATGTGTAGCACAGTATCAGATACCAGTGATAGCTCAGGCAAGTTTCAAGTCCAGCAGAGAGTAATCTGTAATATACAGAGTAAGAGAGTTTGAAGTTAGTATCAATATATGTTTAATTATGTTGTTTGTTCTGAGTTGTTTTTTTTTAACTCTCTTCTAATATGTTTTTAAGTACTTAGAATAAACAGAACCAAGAAAGTTAAAATCAAACATTTCAATAGATTTCATATCTGAGTTAGCCTGGAGACCTTTTTTTGTTTAGCCAGATTACTCTCTCAGAGGGAACACTGGAAATGGTAATATGTATGCAAATCACATTGGCTGTTAACAGCATCAGAAGGCATTAATGTGTTTTTTCTAAGCTAGTGCTCCAAGCCTTTTTTCTGCAGAGGAATTCTCCATATTTTGCTGATAGATTTACTGTACAGGTATGGCTGTTCTGCAATTTGCAGCGCACTGTATGGATACCCAAGCTAGCTTTAAACAAAGTAGGTTGGGTATTGGTGACAGTCTAGCTTTAGCAGCAGAGTTGCTTGCAAGCTAATTTTAGCTTTGGGTAGGTAAGTTGCCTTGTACTGAACTCTGTGCTGTGCTAGCTCACTTAAAACTGATTCAGGCATCTCAACACTATACTGCAGTGTAGACAGATCAGGCGTTTATATGGTACGTGTTCCAGAGCAGCCTCACTGCTCACCCATCCTGTAGCTCCTGACTTCACACCTTTACCCACATGGACAAGCTATGGGCATTATTTGTGCTTTGTGATATCAAGTAAACCTCTTCGGAGCAATCTCCATCTTAAGCCATAGCGTATCTGGCAACGTCAGAATTTAGACAGAGGGCCCCTTCCTTTTCCATACACAAATGTTAGCTCTTGAGGCACAGTAGGTTTGAGGATAATCATGAGCATTTATGCTTCATAATATTCTAAGGGGACAGGTGGAGAATGGGAGCTTTGTTGCTTCAGTCTCCCACTCACATATGTTGATGGATTTTGGGAGGTCACAATGAGGTGGACTCTCATGGCCAGGAAGAAAAAGCTTCCGGCTTATTTTATGCTTAATGCTGCTTTCCCAGTGCCACTTTAAGAATGGGAAGTCAGTTGATATACTTGTGTCCTCTACTCTTACTAATCTGGGGAGTCAGAGGGTTTAGGCATACCAACAATTTACTGCAAAATAAAGAGCCTGAATTTACTGTATATCAGCTGCTCCATGCTAACTGCTTTTATTCTCATGTAAGCGGGAACCAAGCTGCAGTAAGCTGCAGCAAAAGAGTAAATTGCCATGGTTTAGCTTCCACCAACAGTAGGGTAAGACTGTCCAAATGGGCAGTTACCTCAGAACAAATGGTGAATGGGAAAGCCCTGTCCCCTTTTGTCCCAAAATAAATTGTTCAGATTAGGCCTATGCAAAGTGGCTAGTAATCACTTTGGATTCAAATTCGGCCAATTCGATTCAGTGATCCGAATCACTGTCTTGAATTGATTCAGCTGAATCTGATTCGGAGATTCAGCTGCTGCCAAATTTCCAAATCAGCCAGGCCCATCCCCTCCCAGCCTGGCAATGGCTGCCCCACCCACCCAGCTCCCGGCTCTTTGCCTTGGCTCACCGGGTGCTGCCGGGCAGGTGGGGCAATCCCCACTGCCCCATGCTGCATGGGGGGCTCTGCACAAGCCCCTAACCCCC